GGGAGACATGACAATGACTTCTGTACCAGTTCCTTTAGTGAGAATTCTCACCACATCAGGTCAAGTGCATTCTCCATTTTTCTTGGGTAGACTGTGGTGCCTGTGCACCAGCCCTTGAGGGCTCAGTCACCAGTGTTGTCTCCCCAAGGAAGGATAATGACTTTCTTTGACAGAATGTCCATGTTCCTCACCTACCTGCCAAGTGGTCATCTTCTTGGAGTCACATCAGGACCTGATAGATTCCTGCACAATGATGACTCTACTTCATGAGAGCTCACCTAGACCTGTTGGCATCTTGCATGAGTTTTATATAAATGAAATTTTTTAATCTGAAAAAAATACATGAAGGGGAAAATAAAAGATTGCAAGCAGTCAAACAGAGCAAAAGCCTCTGAAGAAGCCATGCTGAAGTTTCTTGCTAAGGTGTCCTCTTCTGTCGCTATTAATCTGGGATACACAATGAGGCACCATCAATCATGGCCATGGTTCTGAAGCCATCACATCTGCAGAGCTTATGGAAGGAGGTGGAGCCTCACACACAGTTACTTGAAATTAGGACATATGTTTGCCTCTATGTACACATGGGTGTTCCTCAAAAATGGAAAACTCCCCATAAGGTGAATGATTAGCCCGATTTCCCACTTGAACCCCCCATCATGGGTGACTATAAAGCTGAAAGAAATATTTTGTAAAGGACGTGGTTTAGATACAAATTCTTGTTCAATAAATAAAATGTGTTCCTTTCTCATAGTAATGGAATAATGAAAAAAATGGCTTGTTTTGTCGTCAGACGTGGAGGGAATTATATGAGAGGAGAGTCAGGGAGGGAAGTGGAGGGAGGACCAGGAAGCTCTTGGACAAATGGCCATCTGGGGCAGTCACTTCATTCACCAGTGAGTTAGCTCCAGGGTATAGTGTCATTATGCTGGAGCCACAGGGCAGGGTCCTCAGAGACATGGATGCTATCCCACAGAGCTCATAGCACACAGGGTGTCCATATTCAGCTCTCCTCAAAACCATAGATGAGAGAGGTGTTATTCTGACAATTTGAGTAGAACAAGATCTGTTCTATATGCATCTTCTGTTTTGACCAAATAACCATTATATCCAGGCTATTAATGTCCGCTTGCATTCCCCAGAGGAGTCCATGCACAGAGGACAGTGGGAGGGCCCTGGTCAATGGAGACTGAGAAAGTCCCATAAGCCTTTCCCAGGTGCAGCAGGAGCCACGGCCTGAACCACATCTGAAACCCAAGTAAAGGGTCTGCCCCCAGGATTTAGACCACAGAAACCACATCCTTCATTTTGGGAAGTAGAAGGACCAGAAGGAGAAATGAGAACAGAACCCAGGGAGGATGAGAGTGGTTCAGCAGAGAGAGAGGGATCCAGATCAGTTCTGAGTCCGACACGCACAGCTGCACATGAAAGGGCAGGTCAGATATGAAAGGTATTGCATTTTATAGGTCCCTGATTCTGGCCCAGAATCACTCTTGGCTCAAACCTGACACCCAATGGCCATTCTATTCAGGGAATACCACTGAGGTCTCTGTTCTGAGTGTGAACGTGAAAGAATGACCAGGTCGCCCGAGCTGTCTCAGGACTCTGATCCTGGCGACGAATGACAGAGCCATTTATGCCTCCAGATGTGGCACTCTGCGTTTATGCACGTGATCAACGTTTTATTCAATTACAACAAACTTTTATAATTGAGAGATAAGTGGCAGTCACAGAACTGCAAATCCAGAGAGGCTTCCCAAGAAACCTTTAGAAGAGGAAGCCCCAGACCCTGACAGGAAACCGTTCCTGAGCTGTCTCTGCACCTGCTCCTCGGCCTGACTCTGTGCCTTGTGGATCCTCTGCATTCACTGGTGGACTGAGCACACCCTGAAGCCCAGACCCTCCTGCAGGGAGGTTTCTGCCTGGGCTCACGCAGACTTCCCCTCACTGTGTCTCTTGCACAGTAATGCACGGTCGTGCCCTCGGTGGTCACAGAGCTCAGCTGCAGGGAGAACTGGTTCTTGGACATCTCTCTGGAGATGAAGGAGCCGCTCTGGAGAGACGAGCTGTAGTAAGTGCTCCCATGATAACTTATCATCCACATGCCCTCCTGCCCCTTCCCTAGGGGCTGGTGGATCCAGCTCCAGCAGTGACCACTGGTTGTGACGGAGAACCCAGAGACAGCATAGTTGAGGGAGAGGGTGTGTGAGGGCTTCACCAGACCTGGGCCTGACTCCTGCAGCTGCACCTGGGACGGGACAGGACAGCTGGGGACAAGGAGAATCAGTCTCTGTCAGTCATAGGCACTCAGAGCCATCCCCATAGAACCATGTTTGCCATCTAAGAAACTCACCTTGTGGAGCCACCACCAAGCAAAAGAGAAGACCAAACAATCTCATCTTCTTCTAGACCACAGCTCTGCCTTCCCTCGAGACCTCAATTCTGTCTGAGGAGAGATATGTGAGCTCCCACAGCTGAAGAGTTGATTTTACCCTAGACCTTGAGGAGAAATTTGCATGTGGGGAGCCCAGTCCTTGTTAATGGGGAGGGACCGAGGTCAGAACCCTGGTCCTTCTGGGGCCCTTGTTGGTGTGTCTTCATTGAACCCACAAGGCATGTTGATCTTAATGGGAGAGCACTTTCTATATGAAGTTGAGGTGGAAAGAGGTCAAAGGCAGGCTCACTTTTCTGGCCCTAAGAATCCGTGTTGGACCACGTGAGTAAATCACTATTTTTTTTTAATCTTGTGCGTCTTTCAAATAGATATTAAAAGGTGTCAACCTTTTGTGTGTACAGCTTCACAAATTTAAGAAAATGATTGAATACAATATAAATTAACAATTGCTACAAATATAATTTCATAGTGAAATAATATTTTGATGTCAGTGTTGGTGTAAATGTAGCAATGACTAGAGGCCAGTCCTTCCTAAATCAGATTTCTTTTAATTTCAGAACTTTGATCTTACTTTGATCTGTACAACTGTCTCCAAAGCAGAGGAAGACTGGGACACCTCTGATTTTGGATGCTTCAGTGGTGAAGGGCTTTGCTTGTGGAAATCAGTCTATGAAGACTGGAATAGGTGCCTACGTCCTCAAGTACACAGACACCAAGGCAAGGATAGCCTTATGTTGTCTACAGAAATGATTCCTACGGTGGGAGGGCTCCTCCCCTTCCCTGAGAAATCTACCTCAGTCAGGAGGTGTTTACTGAGGGTAGTGGTAATTGTTTTATAGAAAGTTTATAGCTTTTCTGTTGGTACAGCAGAGATCATCAGTAACTTATGCATAGAGTTCATATTCATATAACCATCTGGAAACACAATGGAGTGACTAAGCTGGAAGCTGTAGGGATCTGATATTAGGGGTATAATTAAACATTGCAGAGATAATGATCATAGTCCTGAAGAACATGTGCCGATAACATAAATGCTGAGCTAGACGAGGAGACTCCAAATAGATGATAGATAGATCGATCGATAGATCGATCGATAGATCGATAGATAATTTTATAGATTATTTAAAAGGCGTTAGAGGGGATTAGCAACATAGACATCATCGTCACACACTCAAAAAATTAAAATATCCACAGTTGCTAGTAATTAAAATGCATATTTTCATACTTAAAATAATACTTTGATGCCACCTTTGGTATATACATAATTCTACAACAAAGGATAGTCCTTCTAAACTCCTATTCCCTTTGGGTAAGTGCCTATGACTTTAATTTAATCTGAATAACTACATCTTCAGCATAGGCAGGCTAGAAGAAATGTCATTTGAGCTGTAAAATTTTGTATAATTTTGTCTAAGGCTTTCTCCCACATCTTCCTTAAAACAACCCATAGAATACATCCAAAAAACCTAATGACGTACATCAGAAAGAATCACACCTTCAGGTGGAGAACAGATCAAGTAAGGAAAGGGATTACACATCTGTGTAACTCAGCGTCTTCCAATTATTGAATTGATGATGGCAGAGGAATACTGACCCATTTTCTCAGAGTCTGATGGTATAAGGAGAATTGGGACTCAGGCAGGAAAATATACAGAAGACATCTAAGCATACATTTGGTCACAGAAATAGGAATTTGAGACCCCAACAGGAAACCCCTCACTCCCAATCCTCCTTTTAAATATGCCCCGAGGCTCCTGAGCACCCACTGCAGACCAGCCCCTGGCTCAACTCCAGGCTTTTGCTGTTTCCCCTTCCTGGTGAATTCAAGGTCCCATCCTGGTGTGTCCTGGGCTCTGGGATGCTCAGGGATGAGAGCCCTGCCCTCGATCGGGACCATGATCCCTCTATTCTGATATTTATGGCCCCTTCAATGTTGTGCTCAGAGACCCTTCTGCCTACCAGGCGCCCTCCCTGTGTCCCTCGTCTGTCCACCTCTTTCAGGTCACTCCCTTTAATCCTCTGAAGAGTTACCCAAACTTTGCTGCCCTTTTTTTCAGAAATTCTCATTATAATTTGCAATGAATAAAGGAAATACATAGATGAAACTTTACAAACCTCATTACCTCGATTATTTTCCTCGACGTTATTAACATCTATGTCATCTCAGAGCTCAACCCCAAAGTTCTATTAGTACTTGTCATTTTCATTAATTGAACTGAATCTGCCTCCCCTCTCCCTGCGCATCTATCTATTTATCCACTAGACATAGTCATTGAAAGATCCCTTTGCTAAGGGGGAACAGAATACATAGGGTTGAGAGAGGAGTATTTTTTTTTTTTTTTTATTTTTTTTAAAGATTTTATTTTTTTTTTCCTTTTTCTCCCCAAAGCCCCCCGGTACATAGTTGTGTATTCTTCGTTGTGGGTTCCTCTAGTTGTGGCATGTGGGACGCTGCCTCAGCGTGGTCTGACGAGCAGTGCCATGTCCGCGCCCAGGATTCGAACCGAGGAAACACTGGGCCGCCTGCAGCGGAGCGCGCGAACTTAACCACTCGGCCACGGGGCCAGCCCCAGAGAGAGGAGTATTTTTTAAATAATTTTATGAATATTTTTATCCTCGAGGGCATTAGGTTATTCGTATGCAATCTAGAGAAGGGGCATTAAGTAGCCCAACTCCTGCACAGATCCAAGGATCCCACAGAGTGAAGAGCTGATGCTGTCTTCTGACAAATTAGCAAGTTTCATTCACACAGAAAGCACTGAGTCAAATCTCACTGGCCATGGAGAGAGATGGGGCTAATTGTCTAGCTGGCAGCTGCACCAGGGAAGGAGCCCCAGGATCCAGGTCTGAGGAGGAAGTTGAGACAGCTCTGGGGCCCCCACCTTCCTCGTGTCTTCTGCACAGGTGCCCTCTCCCCGTCCAGATGGTTCAGTCTTGGGCTGAGGTGGAGAAGCCAGAATAGTTAGTGAAGGTTCTTGCAAGGATATACTTAGCCAGAGAAAGGGTGCACCACATTGTTCCTGTCACTGCCTCAGCCTGGCAGAGCCGCCTTCTCCCTCAGGGTTTCTGACACTCAGGACATGGATTTTCACACTGTTTCTCCCAGAGTAATATTTGGCCATGTCCTCAGACCTCAGCCCATCGATCTGTAGATAGGCTGTGCTCACAGAACTGTCCACAGAGAAGACGAATCGTTCTGAGAAGATCTGGGAACACATGGGCTACCAGCGTCCATGTCGATCGCCACTCACTGGGGGTCCTTGCCTGATGCCGGCTCCACCTGGGTCATGGCAGAGCTGGCGAAGGTGTCTCCAGAAGCTTAGAGCTGTATGCTTTGAGCGGCGCTGTGCCTTGTGGCATTGGTGAGCCCTACAGTGGCCCTTCTGTAGATTCAACTAACATAAATTGGGATTTTCAATAGTTTATTAACATTTGGGGACAGGAGTATTGATGAGTAACCCTTTAAGAGGGGTTGTTGGTCAGGTGGCTGTGCCGTGGTCTATCTGTATGCCTTCAAATGAATCGTGTGTCTCATTGAAGGATAAACTGTGACGGACACTCACCCTTTCTCAGGACGCTGACGGATCCGATTCCAGTAGTAACTGCTGGTGACAGGGTCCCCGGAGACAGTGCAGGTGAGGGAGAGGGTCTGCGAGGGCTTCACCAGTCCTGGGCCCAACTCCCGCAGCGTCAGGTCAGACAGGACCCCTGGGAACAAGGAGAGCCGTGGGAGTCTGTCCCATCCCATGGAGCACTGGGGAAATACCAAGCCCACTCTCAGTGCTGACGCAGGAAGCCCAATCAAAGCCCGGAAGCTGCAACCCGAAGGATCAGACGGTTCCCACGTACCTTCCCTGCAAACCAGAGAAAGACACGTGTAATGATAAAATTAAAATCCTTTCAACACCTATAAAGGTAAAATTAACAGTGTCTACCTCCACCTGCCAAAGAAGTAGGAAGAAGTGGTACTTTACAACGAGGGGAAAGAGCAATCCACAGAAAGGGACCCGAGGCAGCGCAGGACAGAGGTGGTAGAGAAGTTAATTGTTCTGATTGCACATCATGGATTCAAACAGCCAGAGGGTACTTTGAACATGTTGAACAGGGACACGCCTCTGCTTCCTTCTCCCATCTCCTTTCCGTGTTAACAATCAGGGACGCAGCCCTCCCCGCTCTGCCACACGAACCCCTGCTGCATTCATGCCCAGGCCCACCCACCGCCACACCCGGCGACTGTGACCTAACTCCTTCAGGTGACCCACCCAGGGGTAGGGTGCTGGCAGTCTGAGGCTGTCCTTTGTTCACGGTCAGTGTCTCTCTCTGTGGTGGGAAGTGGCCACAGCAGACGGTTGAGACCTGGCTTCCCTGAGGATCGTCCCTTTATCCACCCTCATTGACAGATGTCCCTGAGCAGGACCATGAGGCTGGCAGAGACCCAGGTGACCCTGAGGACGCCCCTCCTGCTGCTTGGGCTCTGGGCAGTGCTGGCTCCAGGCCAGTGTTCTAAAGGCCGTCCCTCGTGGCGCTACATCTCCTCCGAGGTGGTGATTCCCAGGAAGGAGTTGCAGAGCGGCAAAGGCGTGCAGATGCCAGGGTGGGTCTCCTACAGCCTGCGTTTTGGGGGCCAGAGACACGTTATCCACATGCGGCGCAAGAAACTGTTTGTGCCTAGACATCTGCTGCTGATGACTCAGGATGACCAAGGAGCCTTACAGGTGGACTCCCCCTTCATCCCTCAAGACTGTTATTACCTTGGCTACCTGGAGGAGACTCCTCTTTCCATGGTCACCGTGGAGACGTGCTACGGGGGTATCGAAGGCATCATGAAGTTGGATGACCTTGCCTATGAAATCAAACCACTCAAGGATTCCCAAAGGTTTGAACACATTGTTTCTCAGATAGTGGCCGACACCAACGCCACAGGACCTGCATACTAGCCTGGGATACAAGGAGGATAGGGACCCCCTGTTCTCTCAGGCAAATGCCAGTGCAGAGCCCAGGCTCTCCTCTAGGGTCTTTGCATCCCACTATGGATCAATAAAAGCCCTTGTAATGACTTCCAACAGGATGTACCGTGTGTACAACAATGTATCCAAATGTGCAACCTTTCTGATACATTTAAGTACTATAATTGATTCAATCTGGAGAGGTCTTGATCTTGGTATGTTTCTTACTGCCATAGTTATTTTTGACCAGAGAGATCCAGCTGACATGAATGACCATAGGGTGCCAGGCAGTGCTTTTTATAACTATTTTTCTAACACGCTGTATAGAGCTATGAGTCCACATTCAAGCCTAATCGTGAAACGTGACGGGCCTCATGAACTTCAGTTTAGTCCAGGCATATATTCCATGTGCAAGGCTCAAAATCTTATCATGCTGGGTGCTCTAGGAAGACACTATTTATTGCTGGCTATCATAGCATCTCAACAGATAGGGAGATCGTTTGGTCTGTATTTCGATGAATCCACTTGCGTTTGCCAGAGAAGGACCACGTGCATCATGTACAGATACCCTGTGATGACGGATGCCTTCAGTAACTGTTCCTTTCTGCATACCCAGCACATACTTGGTAACGATGTATCCCTATGTGTGTTCTTCACCCAAAGGGTGTATTTAAATAAAAGCCTGACACAAGATCGTTGTGGAAACCATGTAGTGGAAGAAACGGAGCAGTGTGACTGCGGCTCCTTCAAGCAGTGTTACAGCAGCCCATGCTGCAATAGCAACTGTCGCTTTACGACTGGAAGCGCCTGTGACACAGGCAGATGCTGTACAAACTGCACCTTCTCCCCTGTTGGGACGCTTTGCAGACCAATCCAAAATATATGTGATCTTCCCGAGTACTGCCGAGGGTTAAGCTCAAAATGCCCTAACAACGTTTATATGCAAGATGGAACTCCATGTACTGAAGACGGCTACTGCTACCGTGGAAATTGCACTGACCGCAGCATTCACTGCAAAGAAATCTTTAGGGGAAAGGCTGTGAATGCTCCAAGCAGCTGCTATGAAATAAATAAAAGAACCAATCGATTTGGACTCTGCAGAAGAGCCGAGATGACGTACAGATTTGGGTTCTGTGCGAACGCGGACACTTCTGTGTGGAAGGCTGCAGTGCATCAACGTCACGCACCTTCCGCAGCTGCAGGAACACGTCGCCTTCCATCAGTCTCTTATCTTAGATCACTTGTGCTTCGGCGTGGGTTCACACCGTCGGACCGGAACAACAGATGTGAGTCCTGTGAGAGATGGTAGCCTCTGTGATTCTGGAAGATACTGTCAAAATAGCTACTGCAATGGTTCTATCGAGGCAATGAATTATGACTGTACCCCTGAGAAATGCAATCTGAGAGGAGTCTGCAACAATCTGAGGCATTGCCATTGCCATGAAGGGTGGGAACCTCCAAGGTGCTTACAGAAAGGGGCAGGAGGGAGCGTTGACAGCGACCCCCTCCAAGAAAACAGCAGAAGGTGACAGCCAGCCTGTGGCCAGTGGTGTACCTGAGAGTGCTCTGTGCCCGCATTTATGCCTTAATAGCCGCACTCCTCTTTGGCGTGGCCACAAATGTAAGAACTGTCAAGGTCACTGAAGTAAAGGAAGTGACAGTTGGTGAAACTAAACGATAAATCAGCCTCCCACCCCTGTGCGACTGTAGGCAATAGACAAGGAACATGTGTGAAAAAATCAGTAAAGAGTTGGCAAAGCCGGAGCCCACATTCCCAGAAGTCTGCAGGAGACACAGGGGTCCCCCGACACATCATGGGTGGAGCGAGAGGTGTCAGCATTCTCATGCCAGGTCTCCCTGGTAGGTCACTGACCAGCACTCTGAAATAAATCTTAAAAAAGCACATGCTGGTGTCCTCTACATTTTGCGTTAGCCTCTAAGAGCCCAGGCTGAGCCCTAGCCTCTGGCCAGGAAAGGAGACCTGAGTCAGCAGCTGGGTCTTGACCTGAGGTTGCTGGTCCCACTGGCAGGGGAAGTTGCCACAGGCTCCTTCAGGGGCGTATTTGTGACACATCTCCAAAAGACTGCTCTTGAGCACTGAGGTTTCCCTCATCCTCTGGTAATCTCTCCTCTAAACCCGAAGTGGGTTCAGGGCAATTGAGGGCCTCTCCCGACCGACACTGCCTGCCCCAGACTGGGGTGGCTGTGGTTGTGGGGCGAGAGGCATTGGGTTCACTTCTGACCTAACATGAACTGGGATGGTCTAGAGAGCAAATATCCCTGAGACGGGCACTCAGGCCACGATGCTGAATGCTGCATTCAGTGACATCCCATCAGAACCTTAGGAGAAGTGCCTGGCAAGGACACCGGCACTCCGAGGGAGCCTGTGAATGTTAGCTCCCCCTCCCTTCTCGCCTCTGCATTTCAGTGCCTGCAGAGGGACTGTGAGCTGAGTGGGTCATGGCGAATGACAGACACGGGTCTTTACAACAGGCCTGTGGGAGTGGAAAACCAGTCTACCTCATGGTTGAGTAATTTTCAGTCAACTGTTATTTTATGAGGTAACGCAAAATTAATAAAAAAGAAAATGCATGTCAAACATTTTAAAAGTTGTTGCAAATTGACATTGAAATTATATTGGCTTTTTCCCCATGCAATACAGGGCCATGATGCAGAATTTAAAAGCCAAAATCTCCCACCACCTTAATGCCTTATACTTCCCACATCATGCACCGAAAAACACTTTTAGTCTGTTTTAACACTTGTCTCCAGTGTTTTCCTAAATGTGTGTGGTTAAAACTGGGTCGCTTCCATAGACAGTGTTTTGAAAATCCATCCTTTTTTCTCCACCTACAGTTTGCCATCCTATGATTGAACCTCCTCCTAATTTCCAACATTCAATCTCTGTTTTGGGTACTCGGGCCCATTTTGGTGTCCTCTCAGTGTATTCCATTATCTTGTAGTTGGATATAAATGGGAAATTTAAGTGAGGGATGAGAAGAATTACATGCCCACCTACTTCCACGTCCTTTGAACGTCAATGCCTTCCTTTATGCAGCACCTCCCCCTCCACAACGTTTGTCAATCTTCCGCCTGCACCCTCCCACAGGCAGACCTCTCCTTGGGGCCTGGAGGGTGTGCCTTCCAGGGCTCATCTCGCCTCTCCCTCAAGCTCCTTGTCATTTCAGGCTCCGTGTCAGATGAGCACCAAGTCCTGATCCCCTAGGCCTCTCTTTCTATTGTCTGTTTCTCTTTTCCTTTTCAGACTTTTGGTCATCACGTCATGTCTCCTGGCATGGCTAATAGTTTGTGACGGAAGTCCAGAGACGGGGTGTGAAGAACTGTGGAGGTTCTCGGGAATGTG